CACAACTGCATTCGTTTTTACATCTTTCTCACAAAAATGTACCTCTGTTAAGCCCCAATAAGAAACTCCCAACCATACCATGAGCGAGGATGGAAAATGACCTCGTTGGACACGCGGAATACGGTTGCTCGCTTCTTCACTACTGTGTGCGTACACCTTATCATTTTGTTTGTTGTAGCTCTCTGCTGCGGTAAAAAATTTTTCATCTGAATTTCCCGATATTTTTTTCCCGCGTACCGCTTCAACAAAGCGCGGCATCTCTTCAGTCTCAGGTCCATTAGACGAGCATTTAAACGATGTCCTGTTTTTCTTCGATATGCCCGAAGCCCTAAGTCTTCATTTAACACCCTTTTCACCGTGGTTCCGCTTAACCCCATCTGAAGGGCCAACAGTTTCTGCTTACGTTTGGGATTTCTTTGAATTAGCGCCTTCACAGCTTTTATCACTGCTGGAGTCCTAACAGACCGAGGGCGACCACTTCTTGACCTGTCATCTACACTAGAGTCTTCATTGTATCGTTTGATGGTACGATAAACGAATCTTTTGGTTATATTAAAATTTTTCAGTATGTTAAAAATTTGAATTGGCGCGTAACCGCGACGATGCAACGCAATAACTGCAACACGGTCTTCTTTAAGCGTCCACTCCATATTTAAAAATGAGTAAAATTCTAAAAGTATACATTTTTATTTTCATGAACAATTCGAAATTCGAATTCAATAAACTTTTTTGTGGCCAGCATTCTAAAAGAAAAGTTTTTACTGTGTGACAATACTTATAACCTGACTAGTTATAGTAATTACGCAATATTACAATTCGCATGTTTATCTTTTATTACCGGAGGTTTCCTTCCTTCCTTCATTGCTTTATTCCTTCATTGCATAAGTTTTCACGATCATGAGCAGGCGTTTCAATGGAAAAATCGGTATTTATTTGCGAGATTTGAACACCGGAAAGTCGCTTCGCTCAATACGAATACACCGGGCATCGAATCCTTTACGCCAACGTGTATCCCGTTGGAGCACGTGGAAATTATATTGGAAATAGTATATCTGAATATTGATTGAAATACAAGTTAAAACAGTTGAATGAAATAAACTTTATTGGAATGTAACCCCTTACTTCTTCAATAAGTATGTAGTTTGAAACAAATCTTAAAACTAATAACTTACTTAGGCGCTAGACTGTGAGCGGTTTTTAATAATAAGTAAAAGTAAGTATGTTTTAACAAAACGAGACACATAAAGTTAAAGTTTTATCAAGGAGTACGAGAACGGAAAAAGGTTTTAGAACACAAACCTACCTCCTTGGGCTTAAGCTGTTAAAGCCCATTGACCCGCGAAGAAGAAACTGACCCTGCCACTTCATTTATCAACAATAAATACAATGTAAACGTTTCAACTGCCTTCCTTTATCCAATTCAGTATTTACGTCTCAATATAATAACAACCAGCCTAAAAGCGTTATCAATTCTCCGAATTCTATGCACTTTCTAAACTCTGATACCTATTAAGATCCAATTTGTATGGATGTCCGATAGAGTGTTCCTGCACAACCTTAATTCATCTGTAAGGTCGATAGAGATAAGGCTTTTAATAATAGTATCTCATTCATTTGTAAAAGTGGTTTCAATATTGTCTACCACTAGCAAAAACTGAGGAAAATACTAGTATCTTGTAAATAAATTGATTAGGTATGAACTATATAGGAATTATTTGAATAATGTGAAACAAACAATAACTCATTCAGAAAAATATGCCTAGTTAAATGTTCTTTATAGTGCTCATCATAAGAGTCCGGTATTTACTGTTACAGAGGTAAAGACAGATTTACGATAGTACCGTAAGCAATACAATCTAATCGAGTATTGTTTGTTTACTCATTCCGTAAGCGAATAAAACGAATAGTGTTTTATTGGTCGTATCCAATTCACGCAGGCTTTGGCTGTGAGCAGGGTCGGACAAAGGAATTACGCATGGACCCTCCAATACTTTCAAACTTTCTTCCATTGTTTAATTTAAACGTGATATTAACTAGTGCTAATCATTTTTCATACCGCAGGTTAGCACCACCATCAACAGTGCTTCGAACTAGCCGTTTTAATACTACTAGCAATACCGTCTTTACCATAAGGGCACACGGGGCCCGTGCCCAGGGCCCCCATTCTCAGGGGGCCACGAAAGACCGACAATTTCTCTCTCACGTTTATTCTCAAAACATTTTTGTCGGGCACATTACACTTTTTTTACAAATCAGTAATCAGAAGGTATTTACAAGGCATTCGCTATGCCTATAATAGAAGATTTTGCTCAACAGAAATCCCGAAAGAAACCGTTATCGAAATCGTAACCAAAAAACCAGCAGCATTCTAATATCATTAATGACATATTATATCATACTGTATTTGATTACCTATAATAAATGGTCATACTCAGTAAAAAAAATTTATTATAATTCGCTTTTTTTACTTTCCAAAAGGGCCTCAAATTCTTGTGTGCCCAAGGGCCCCTGCCTAGTTTAAGACGTCCCTGACTACTAGACTACGTTTTGTCATCTTTCAATCATGTTCGAAGCATGAGACACTAGTAACACAATTGATACCTCCAGTCTGTGGTATCCACAATTTTCTCTACTACTAAATCTTGAGTTTTTCATTTAAAATGATAAGAATAGTGAATTGATACTATGCGAACTATAATACTATAGATAAAGCTTTATAAAGCGCAGGTCCGACCTCGCGTGGAGTACTGCTCTCACCTCTGGGCCGGGGCTCCCAAATACCAGCTACTTCCATTTGACTCCATACAGAAACGGGCTGTTCGGATGGTCGATAGTCCTGCTCTCGTGGATCGCTTGGAACCTCTGGGTCTACGGAGGGACTTCGGTTCTCTCTGTGTTTTATACCGCATGGTCCATGGGGAATGCTCCGAGGAATTATTCGAGATGATTCCCTCATCTCCTTTTTATCATCGCACCTCCCGCCATCGGAGCAGAGTTCATCCATATTATCTGGAACCGCTGCGTTCATCGACAGTGCGTTTCCAAAGATCTTTTTTGCCACGTACCATCCGGCTTTGGAATGAACTCCCCTCCACGGTGTTTTCCGAGCGCTATGACATGTCCTTCTTCAAACGAGGCTTNATAGTCCTGCTCTCGTGGATCGCTTGGAACCTCTGGGTCTACGGAGGGACTTCGGTTCTCTCTGTGTTTTATACCGCATGGTCCATGGGGAATGCTCCGAGGAATTATTCGAGATGATTCCCTCATCTCCTTTTTATCATCGCACCTCCCGCCATCGGAGCAGAGTTCATCCATATTATCTGGAACCGCTGCGTTCATCGACAGTGCGTTTCCAAAGATCTTTTTTGCCACGTACCATCCGGCTTTGGAATGAACTCCCCTCCACGGTGTTTTCCGAGCGCTATGACATGTCCTTCTTCAAACGAGGCTTGCGGAGAGTACTTTATGGTAGGCAGCGGCTTGGCTCTGCCCCTGGCATCGCTGACGTCCATGAGCGACGGTGACCACTTACCATCAGGTGGGCCGTATGCTCGTCTGCCTACAAAGGCAATAAACAACATAAGCGGTATCTCCAAAGAACATTATCAATAGGCTTTATAGTAAAAACCTGTATATTTGAAAAATACGCTTTGATTTCTCGTCAGGTCTACGTGCTGTAAGCGGATTATTTTTTTATAACAGTGAGATCCAGAAATTGTTTGTAAAGACGAACGGAAAATATTTGGGGATGGAAGTACTAAAATGAAAGAATTTTTTTTCGCTACATAAAAAAATTATTCATCAACTTTAATTTACAAAATAATATTGATTGCCTGGTTTACTTAGCAACACATACAACAAAAGAAAACATTTTCTTTTAAACGATTTTTATAAAACATCAAGACCGACTGATTAACAAACGCTGAGACTGGAAATATTGAATAGGAAGTCGTTTAAAAAAACCGGTAAGGATTTATTTTAATTGTATCTTATTGCTGTTCGATATCGTATCGTTATAAATAACTCGATGGTTAAAAGTTTTAAACCCACAGTAACAAAATTCATACTTCTAGCCAAATTAAAAAAAAAGTGTGCTTTGTATTTTTTTTTTTTTATTGCTTAGATGGGTGGACGAGCTCACAGCCCACCTGGTGTTAAGTGGTTACTGGAGCCCATAGACATCTACAATGTAAATGCGCCACCCACCTTGAGATATAAGTTCTAAGGTCTCAGTATAGTTACAACGGCCACCCCACCCTTCAAACCGAAACGCATTACTGCTTCACGGCAGAAATAGGCGGGGTGGTGGTACCTACCCGTACGGAGTCACAAGTGGTCCTACCACCAGTGATTACGCAAATTATAATTTTGCGGGCTTGATTTTTATTACACGATGTTATTCCTTCACCGTGGAAGTCAATCATGAACATTTGTTAAGTACGTATTTCGTTAGAAAAATTGGTACCCGCCTGCGGGATTCGAACACCGGTGCATCGCTACATACGAATGCACCGGACGTCTTATCCTTTAGGCCACGACGACTTCGACTTGTATTTCAAAAATTCTTTTAATTCAGAGATTATATTTTTTGACCTAAGTTTACTTGTGGGGAACGAATAAACTTCCTATCTGTTAATGTTATCGTTTGTGAATTCCTACCGACTCTACCATAATGTCCAGTTAAAGTTAAAATATTTTACAGAGAACAGCTTCCAAGCCCTTCAAACCCAAAATGTTTAACTTGGAAGACATTGTAGTTTCATAAAAAAATCTACTATGAATCGAATATAAATCACTTATTCTACAATAACTAAATAGATATACCCAGTAGAATTCAGTTTATTCCTTGACACATCCCTGGAGAGCGTCCATAACGGTCGAACGAATACGTTGATCATTAATGCGAGGGCAGAGGGAATCACCTGGAGCCGAACTAACAATCTATCTATGTCCAAATTCGGTTACGCTAATAAACACGGATTATAGCGTGCGGTGGGCGCCTAAGAATACCCCCAACCCAAACTTAGCTCATGGGTGTCGTAGAAGGCGACTAAGAGCCAAAGCCAGACCAAAGCCAATAAAACCTCGGCCCAAGGTCAACAAAAGCATTCCCAAGGAGGGTTGACGTCAGGCAGGCGGCCGGTCATAAAAACTTTGCCAAAACTTAGAGCAACATGAGAAGGAATAAAAAGAAGAGCACCAGGGCTAGGGCGTCCCCCGCAGGCGACGCGCAGGGACAGCACCCGGTCTCTGTGGAAAGTGGACGAGGGTTGTCGCATCACGGGCGGGTGCGACGTAAGACGCAAGCCCAAAATGTGAGAGAGATGAGATTGAGGTATGCAAGCTGGAATGTGGGCAGTATGACTGGGAAAGGAAGGGAGCTAGTAGATGTGTTAAAGAGGAGAAGAATAAATATAGCATGTCTGCAAGAGACTAGGTGGAAAGGAGCGAAAGCTAGAGAAATTGGTGAAGGATATAAGCTGTATTATAGTGGAAGTGATGGAAGAAGGAATGGCGTGGGAGTAGTGTTAGATAAGGATTTGAAAGATTGTGTGGCGCATGTCATAAGAACGAGTGATAGGATAATAACCGTAAAAATAGTTTGTGAAAGTGTTATTTTGAATGTTATAAGTGTGTACGCGCCTCAGTCCGGGTGCAAGGAGGACGTGAAAGAGAAATTTTGGCAGGATTTTGATAGTGTTATGATTCGCATTCCAGAGAGTGAAGAGATTTGTATAGGAGGTGATTTTAATGGACATGTAGGAGCTACAAATGAGGGCTATGAAAGGGTGCATGGAGGGTGGGGGNCGACGGTGAACTGGATCGTACTGTCAGGCACAGAATTGACGCAGGATGGATGAAATGGCGGCAGGTCACGGGCACCATATGTGACTCGCACATCCCTCTTCCCCTAAAAGGGAAGATATATAAGACCTTAATAAGGCCTGCCGTCTTGTATGGATCAGCTTGTTGGACAACGAAAGTGGCGGATGAAAGGCGATTGCATGCAGCAGAGATGCGAATGTTGCGATGGATGTGTGGAGTAACGAGAATGGATAGAATACGGAATGAATATGTTAGAGGAAGTCTGAAAGTGGCACCTGTGACAGAGAAGCTGAGGAGTGCACGTTTGGGATGGTATGGACATGTGATGAGACGGAATGAAAATGAGGTTGTTAAGAGAGTGTTAACTATGAATGTGGAAGGATTTAGAGGAAGAGGTAGACCTAAGAAGAAATGGATGGATTGTGTGAAAGACGATATGGGTAGGAGGGGAGTGAGCGAAGAAATGGTATATGATAGAAGAGTATGGAAGGAGAAAACATGTTGCGCCGACCCCAGGTGACTGGGAGAAGGGCAGGATAATGATGATGTGACCACTTAAATGAACAAATCGTTAGTCTTGGCCTTAATGATAAGACAAGGGAAACTGTCAGCTGTGCTTATAGCGCATTTGTGGTACTATGAACAGTTTGCTCTTCGACAGCAAAAGCAGAAACTAAATCCGTTTATTAAGTCGCGCTATAATCTTGAAAGTAGTCACGCATGCCCTTTTCAACTCTTGAGTGACTTTCTTAATTCTGTTCGTAAATTACGTCTTTTCTTTTCAAGAATATTTCACTCTATTCTATTCTATCAGCCCATGGACGTCCACTGCTGGACATAGGCCTCCCCCAAGCCTCGCCACAAAGACCGGTCCTGCGCTGCCTGCATCCAGCGGATCCCCGCGAACCTCAATAGGTCGTTGGCCCACCTTGTGGGGGGCCTACCCACGCTACGTCTCCCAGTACGCGGTCATATTTCACTCATTGACCATTAATTAAAATTGTTTTTTACTAACCAATCCGTCGCCATATTCAACTCTTGAGTAACTTTCTTAATTATGTTCGTAAATTACATGTTTTGCTTTCAATAATACATGTTTCTCTCATTTTAGTCGTTAACTCGGAACTGGGATCAATATCCCTAACTGATTATGCCAAATTATCGTAGGGATTAATGTAAACATAGAAAATGTGTAACATTACTACAGTGGGCGTATAATGGGGAAGAAATACCTAAATTGAGGTCGTAGACCCCTAATTGGATATCATTATGATGTCTTTAAGTTTCTTGGCTTAAATACAATATCAATTTAAGGTGTGTCTGATCGTATAGACTACATTCATTAAAATTCGTGCCTCATTCTATAATAATGAAACGGACACAGTGAGGCAATAGAAAAACTTCGTTTTCTTCAACCCTATGTCATCTATTTTTTAAGCCCTCGATACCTACACGTGTCTTCAAGGTTTCTATCATAGTTGGTGCAACTAAAATACCCAATTCTACTCAATGTTATGAAAACGATATTATCAATCAATCTCTCTGATTTTCCTTAAATCGATACTACGAAAATTATTAAAGCACCATCCATCACCAAACTCATTTCAATTACACACATTCGTGATCTACATAATATCGCACTCAAAGTCGTATCGATTTTTATTGCTTTTCGTATGCACACAACTCTATTCTCGTGATTCACTTTGAATAAATATAGATAGACATCATGTCATTTGGTTTTTATGGATTATAATATTATTTATAAAACTTTTATCATGGGTAGGTTTACGGGAAAAAAAGTTTCAACAAACATATTTTTACACTTTACCCCCCTTTTCCTTGACCCAGTAACCTTACAAAAACCGAATCTGTCACGTAATAACTGTCGATAGGAATCTCGACGTAAGTCCCTTTGCTTTAGGAAAGCTATTCTCAAAAATATATGGCGTGAATGGGTTTACGATAATCCATTTTTAGCGAAAAACCTATTTTATTATTTATCTCCACAATCGGTGTCTCCGTTGTCACGCAATAACGTCGAGAATGTTGTCGAAAAAATCTAGACTTTTACAAGCAACTTACATAAAGTTACAGAGTGCGAAATAGATCGTAAACTACGATTGAATAGTTTACTTGTCGAATAGAAATATTTTTAGAGTATCGTGACGTCAGTTTGTAAAGGATTTATATCATGAAGTAACTTTGTAGACTCTTTTTTGAGGTAACTAGGTTTTTAGAACCGGACCAAATATACAAAATGTAAAAAACTCAGCGACTACCTTTCATTCTTGTCTAACTAACTCTTNTGCGAAATAGATCGTAAACTACGATTGAATAGTTTACTTGTCGAATAGAAATATTTTTAGAGTATCGTGACGTCAGTTTGTAAAGGATTTATATCATGAAGTAACTTTGTAGACTCTTTTTTGAGGTAACTAGGTTTTTAGAACCGGACCAAATATACAAAATGTAAAAAACTCAGCGACTACCTTTCATTCTTGTCTAACTAACTCTTTATTTTATTGCGTAGACAAGTGATGAACTCACGGCTGGTGTTAAGTAGTACTACTGGAGCCCATGGTCATCACAACGTGAATGCCCTCACTTTTCTTAAGAGGCCTAAATTTCAATTGAATTGTGACCGAACGTACATAGCCCCTTCAAAATGAACCGCATGACTTCTTCGGGTAAATAGGTAAGAGGGAAGTATAAATAAAAGGGGAGGATACAAATTTGCTCTTTAAAAATAGTTACGTACGCACTATTTAAAAAAAAATTATACTTGAATTGTTAGGTAGTTTGAACACCAAAATAGTCCTATTATAGATAGTTAATCTTAGCACACCGGGCTTATTATTCTTAAGGCATCAATTAAATATTTCAAATGTTAACCCATACAATTAAATCTGGTTTATTATTTTGTTACATATGTGTATCTATTCGTATTTATGAAGTAATGTAGTTTGATTATACTACTGAATATGTTATTACAAAGCAAATATGCGTTCATAATTGCAGAATAAGAGATTTTAATATTTAAAACCTTTAATTACTACACCCACAAGTCCTTTTAACCATTTAACATGAAATAGTGGGCTCTGAATTCGTTTCTATATTTTGACCTATAAAAAAATAAAAGAGTGCTTTTTCTCGACCTTGCTTAAAGTTAGAAAAGTAATTTGGAATTTACTTTTTGTTCATAAAAGACGACAACTTTTCTCGTCGTTGTAATAACAAACTATTCTGTATAATCAAAATGGCACGAGTTTGATATGTGTAAGTACAATTTAGCCTATTGTTTTATTTACACCGTCAAACAAGTTATTATTACCTACATGTATGTTACTTTCGAAATATCGATATATTTTTTTAAATTAAATGTAATTAAAAATTTCATATTGACTGAAATATTAACAAAAGGATGATGATTATGACTCGACCAAATTCATCATGACAAGTAATTGAAAAGCAATCTTTCGTTCAAAATACAAATTTCCTTTTTGTAAATTTATTGTAATCATAGCAATCAAACAAATTAATCGTAAATCAAATAAAGGCAAAATTATTTGGTCTATAAACTCGAATTCAATGCTTTTAACTACGGGTTTCTTCTCAGTATTTGATGTTTAATAAGAAATGCTATTCATATTTTTTACATTTTTATTTAAAAAAGTGTCAATCACGAAATATACTTTAATTAACTGATAACTTATTTACTAGAGTTACGATACTTATGTACATTATGAGACTTGTTTCCATTATCCACGACTGTCCATTATCAGTTTCCATCAAAAATTTACCCCATGCTCAGCTAAAGTAAAAAATCAAGCCCTAACGATGCGTATTAATAGTAGGATTAGTATCTCTTGTCTAGTCTAGTATTTTAAAGTTTTCTAATAAAATCTTGATGGTTGATTCTGAATAAGCATACATTCAGATTTTGAAACCCCACCGCTATGAAGAATATGAAAGAGCTGTGAAAGGGGAAAATGAGGAAAACAAACATCACTGTCGGAGTGCTGTAGCTTTGTTTTCGTGGCCTTTCCCCGTGATGTTTCATTTTATTCATACGAAATATACTACATATATTCACCCTTACTTTGTTTGTTTATTGAATAAAAATAGTATCATGGATGAAGTTCGAGATTCGTGTTTGAATTATTAACTAGGACAATAGCTAAAATATAATATCGTAGAAATAGATGTCAAAGGATATTAGTTTGAAATAGCTTGTTGTTGTTTTCTTGAAGCAAACTAATACATGCTTCCACTTTACTTTACTGTTTTTCTTTTGATAATATTTCAGCAGACTCAAAAAAGTAAATAAACGATAACTGGGTTTTAGAACTTTGGTAATTTTAACATCGTATTTAAAGCATTTTCCAAGGCACATAAGGCAAAATAATTTTGGGAAAAAAAGAATCGTACAGTAAATAATAATTTAACTATGACAAATAACTTCTCTCTTGAATTCTTAAACTTCTATAATATCTACCTCTTGCATGTATGTACATGAAATATATATGTATAATGTAAACATAAATTTTACTGCGTTCACTTTTTGGAAACCTCACCATCTCTCGCCTTTAGCAATTTAATTTACATATTGCTTAAACCATATGATTTGCTTGATAAAATTTATTTGTCAGATTCTTTTTAACAATTCAACCTAAAATAATATGGCTATACATGAGACATGAGACAACTCATCAAAATTTTGTTTCCTGCAGCTTTAAAGCAGAGTGCAAGTAAATATAAAGGATCATTACTCTATTTTATGTCGTAAAATAACCAAATGCTTCACCACGCTCCACGGGATACGTTGATAAAATTAGTTGAATTCAAATTGTTGATCAGTTGTAACTCAGATATTGGACATTATTTCTACGGGTTATTTTTAAAAAAAAAGTATAATCTACAAGTATAATCTAAATAAGTTGTATTCTAGGGCTTCTCAGTCAAGTTTCTCTTACCTTATGGGCTAATTATACTCTCCGAACTTATATTCAAATCCTCCTCTTCGAAATTTGTCGTGTTCGTGCGACTTAATTCCATCGTAAGTGCCAACAAAACAATTTCTCAAACCAATAAAAGGTCTTGTACGTATGAGTAAGTAGCGTCAGTCAACGTCAGAAGAGTGCTATTATGGTTATGTACGATACGCGTTGCAGAGTTCCCTCGAACGGGACTGTGTTTGAAGATTCCGAACGATACCCTTGAGGTATAAGTACTGCGTACTCTCAATATTGACGATGTTAGATTATTGACTTGACAATACCTTAACAATTGCCTTTTTGGACAAAATACTTCAATTTTCATTTACTTCAATTTACCAAAGTAATGACTGCTGACGCTGGATGATGGATGAGTCCCAGCAGTTGCTCTTCTAATCTGAGCATCGTTTGTTGTGTAGTCGGGTCGTGCATTGTCGAACTAGAGCCCCTAGAACTAGATTAACCTAAGCAGGCTTACAGATTTATTATTGTTTTACGATTTTCCATTGTTATATTCAGTTCTTACTTACTGGTGGCAGGACCTCTTGTAAGTCCGCGCGGGTAGGTACCACCACTCTACCTATTTCTGCCGTGAAGCAGTAATGCGTGGAGAAGCCGTGGTAACTATATTGAGACCTTAGAACTTATACCTCAAGGTGGGTGGCGCATTTACGTTGTAGATGTCTATGGGCTCCAGTAACCACTTAATAACAGGTGGGCTGTGAGGTCGTCCACACACCAAAGCAATAAAAATAAATAAAAAGCTCCGCAGAGTATGTTGGGGATAAATGTAGCAACGTCTAGGAGTCTAGGCTACCGAACAGTCTGCAGACTGAGAGATGTTTATTGTGTAGGCTATGGCCACTGGTCCGACATATCATGGAGTAAATGCGAAATATGCGCGAAGGATTGCGTTATAAATGGTTTCTCCGCAACTCCTCTACGTGGGACGATAAAATACTTAATAAAACTTTAACTTTAATTTGAGAAGAAATCCTTGGATCCGAAAAGGTATATTGAACACACACTGTTAATAAATAAAACTCAACATGGCTGACATCAATTTAATATAATCATAAACTTGGATCGTATAATCACGCGATCACAAAATTTTCCCTTGTTTTTTTTTACAATTTTATACCTATCTAAATCGTTATTTCAAAACACACACCAATTAACAATTTTTAATACTCACAATGTCTTATAATATGTTTTCAGTTGTCTTATAATATGTCATTGACTAACAATGACCAAGAACTATTTACAAACGGTTTTGAGGACTATAATATTTGCCAACTGTTCAAAATTAAATGTCATACACGGTATAAGTGAAACTGTTTTACCTTAACGTGAATAAATAAAAAACACTATAAATATTGCTATAACTAAGCATCAATTTATTCGTTCTTGTAAGATGGCATATTTTGCGAAACAGCAATCTATAGCGATAACAGTAGCCCCTCGTCGCATAACGACCTTACGACTCCGCGCGTCAACTGATTTTTGATTGTGATACAGTTTTTTTTTTATTTTTTTATTGCTTAGATGTGTGGACGAGCTCACAGCCCACCTGGTGTTAAGTGGTTACTGGAGCCCATAGACATCTACAGCGTAAATGCGCCACACACCTTGATATATAAGTTCTAAGGTTTCAGTATAGTTACAACGGCTGCCCCACCCTTCAAACCGAAACGCATTACTGCTTCACGGCAGAAATAGGCGGGGCGGTGGTACCTACCCGTGCGGACTCACAAGAGGTCCTACCACCAGTAATTGCATTTCATTAACACAAATATGTTGTTTGTTCAAACGTGTTTTACCTATACCTTGGACAATCATTACTGTCAACTGTCTTAATTTTTAGTACTGTTAGAAGGGAACCGTTAGATTCGGTAAAACACTGGATACTTACTTTCCTAAAAAGGCTTCCGTAAGCTCTGAATGGTAAATTCTAATTTGAATAATTTCTTGAACGTGACTGTTATTTTAAAGAGTAGCTTATCAAATACTTAGTTTTTTTGAGATTTACACTATCTGAACATTTCCTCGTAAATCTAATGAGGAATTACGATAATTATTTGTTTAAAATATTATTATTCTAGCATTTATAAATTTTTAATTCATATTTACTTAACAAATTTTAAANTCTGAATGGTAAATTCTAATTTGAATAATTTCTTGAACGTGACTGTTATTTTAAAGAGTAGCTTATCAAATACTTAGTTTTTTTGAGATTTACACTATCTGAACATTTCCTCGTAAATCTAATGAGGAATTACGATAATTATTTGTTTAAAATATTATTATTCTAGCATTTATAAATTTTTAATTCATATTTACTTAACAAATTTTAAAATTTTTAATATTATTTAAGAAAAAAAACCTTTTTTCAATCAGGTATTTTTCCACACAATCGTAAGTCTTTAATTCATTACAAAGTTCGACTGACGAAAGCTAATTGAACAAATCTTAGTGCCTATCTAAGCTCCTCTATTGCACTATATATACTCATAAACATATAGCAAAGAGCAGAGGTTTTTGTGATCGATAGTAGTTTTCACAAGGAGCATCTAAAGCAATCGTGTACTATAACATAAATCTGTACAACTTACGTATTATCATCTTAATGAAACCCACAACAGCTGAATCAGTTAACAAGTTACAGTCTTTATACGTTTATCAATACGTTCTACAGCAACTGGACATCGACACTACAACAAACGACAACAACTTTTACTCCAAAGCTCGATCGTCTGTACGCGCGATCCTTTCTCCAAGCGTCTGGATTATTCACCAAACTTAAACACTTGTGTCTCAGGTAAGTCCTTCTATATTACAATTCACATGATACATGTAAGTGGCCAACTCCTCTCCGGTCAGTTCGTCGTCTACTTCCCGGAGACTGGAGTTGGAGATACTTCGTGGAGATCCGATGGAGTCGGACGGCTCGTTTCGTAGACGCCAAACTCGGCTCCAGTGGCTGCTAGCGCTGGGTGACTCGTTCACTATGGAGAGATCGCGATTTTGGTAGCACTGTAATTAAAATACAACATACTTCAGAGAAAAGGTTTTTATATGCTTAAAAATATAGATCATTAAACGGCCTCTTTCGAATTTCGCGATCACTGGATGAATTGGACTATAGTAATGGTAAACGTCACGTTTTCTATTACCTCTTAAAACACGACACGAATGATCGACGTTATGAATTGTGCCTTGAATACAAAGAAAGACCATTAAGAATGCTTCTTTTTCTATTGAAATTTCAACCTCAGAGTGTAGATGGGCAAGTTTAGTATACTATTTAGTTACTTGGTGAAAAAGTACTCTCCTAGAACCGTGTTTCTTGAATTAATTTAATAGTCCCGACAAACCGCGATTCGCAGTCACTGCATAAGCGATTAATTCCTACAAATTAATTATCAAAATTGACATAGCTAGTTAAGTTAATTAAGCATAGTAGTGGTACACAATGGAGGAGGCTCACGTTTATGCACTGCTATCAATATTTACCCTTACAAACACTTTGGATTTATTTTATGATAAGAAAACTTTGCTTGAGTTGTTCATGAACATTTTATGTTAGGCGGGCGATCGATACGAACACATGGGGCATCTTATCGTTGTTTTATAGCCGTGATGACTTCCAAGAGCAAGCACGTGGCTACGTTTTTTTTTTTTTTTTTTTCTTAAGAAGTAATCTAGCCGCTTTTGGAACAAGACCGGATGAAACCACTGGTTATGTTTGAATGGACAAATGAAATCTGAATGCACTAATGAAGCGAAATCAAACTCCAACTTAAAATCAAAATAAAGTCCAATAAATTACACTCGGATGGCCTCGAGCAGGGAGACGTGGCAGGGAATCGTGAGATGCGTCAAATCTACCACCTTCAGCACTACAATAAGATCACGACCACTCCGTCAAGAGGTCGTCGGTGCGCCCAGTCATGGACGAACTTCCCCAGTGGCTGGACCGATGGAGGATCGCGGTCAACGTGGGAAAGACTGCGGCAATCCTCTTCGGTCCGGTCCGTACAAGATTCGTCCCGAGACAGCTCAGTCTCCATGGCCTCAATGTCGAGTTTGGATCCAGCGTCCGGTACTTGGAGGTTAATATCGACCAGAGTTTGAGGAAGACCGCCCACGCCATGTTGGCGTTGGCGGCCGCTCGCCATGCGAGATTTCTCCTGCGGCCAGTGTTGGCCTCCAGGCTGCCGGTCAGGACTAAGCTCGGCATTTACAAAACGTATGTCCGTTCCCCTAACACGTACGCAGCTGCGGCCTGGTATCACCTCATCCTACAAGGTATGCGGGAGAGGTTACAGGCCCAGCAAAATCTGGCTCTTCGCGTGATATCAGGAGCAGGGCATTACGTCAGAAATGACGTAATTGCCCGGAATCTAGCTGTGGAGTCGCTCGAGAAGTTCATCCGGAGGCTAGCTTGTAACCTACTAGCGTGTGACCTTTACGAGCGAGCTGATGGTGGACCTCACGAGCACCACCGCAATATAGCTCCCTTGCACGCCAGGCCACCTGATGGTCGGGTACTACCAAAGGAGCTACGGGAACCCCCAGTTATGCCAAGATAGTCGGTTTAATCGGAGTAATATGGGAGTGCTCATAATGAGTGCCCCCATGGGCCTGAGCTGTCCACACTCGTCATTCCCCCACATTGATGGGGTTCCCCCCTATGGGGCGCATTTTTAACCACTCCCGTGGGTGGACCGCTCCCCACTCTGGGGAGTGTCTGTACAGTCGGTCCCTCCCCGCTCAGGTCTTATGTTTATGTATATATTATTATCATGTCAATGTGAGTGTGCCGAGCACACTGCGAACAGCCCCCCCTCAAATTCCCCCTAGCATTATTCCACCCCTGCCCTGTGTGGAAGGGAACTTCCGCCCGGGTAGTGGGGTTCGCCCCGATGCCACATCTCTATTTATGACGTGTTTGACCCATGATATTCAAAAATATTTAATTGATTTAGAGCGTCCGATCTCCTTTTTAAATCGGTTTAAGTTAAGAAATATAATATTCCATTTTTCAAAATATAAAGTTCTTTTTTTATTCGATTTATGAAGTAGCTTTCTGTGTTTTGCGGTTCAAAAGAAATGAAATAAATGTTGTCACGGGTCACAAAGTAAGAAATAAGGTGAAATGTTTTCAGACAATAACAAGTCAAGCGAAACGTTTTTTTTTTTTTTATATTACCAACATATTTCTAGATATGTTTTAACAAGTTTAATATATTGAACCACGAAAATCGTGAAATAGTAGACACTAAATGTTAAATATATACAAAACTGAACTTAATCAAATAGTCTTAACACGTAATGTTTGACAGCACCAGACAAACAGATGCATGGCTTTATAACTAGGTCACTGAAAATTCCTATTTGGGAAGGTGATCATGAACAATCATGACTACTTCAGTTTAGATAGACCTTAGCTAAGCTCTGACCTAAGCTCTGCTTGGTCATAAATGTAGTTAAAACTACCTTTTTTTTTTAATCCATAATACAGCTAATTTTTTATTATCTTTTTGTGATTGAGGGATTACTGGTGGCCCGGGGGTTTTCCCAGTTTCACCAGGGCAGGTGGGTGAGCAAAGGCTCAGCCAAGAGGGGTGGGATTTGCTAACAGCTGCCCGAGCGCCTCCAAAGGACACCTAACAACTCAAGAGCAGCTGCTTCGCGAGTGAATCTACTACCGAATCGGAATCGCGACCCGCTGAGAAGATCCGACGAGAAACTCAGCGGGCTAATAGTTAGGTTGCACGTAGAGTTACCGGGGTACCTAAGCCTGCTCCTAGCGTTAGAGCTGAAGGCGTCTAATGAAAAGGTTATTGGATCTGATGGATCCGTAAGGACGTGTCTAGGGTGTCGACGATGACTGGCTCCTGTGTGATCAGGATTTGGGGAGTAATCAGCGGCGGCAACGATAAGGCGATTATCATGACGCATAGCCTTATCGAAGTATCGTTCCGGCGCTGTCCTCATGTATTTCCGGATAGATTGGAGGTCTAGGTCGTCGCGTAGATCAACCTTCCTCACGAACCACGGAGCTCTGACGGCTAACCTACAAAAGCGGGATAGTACGGATTGGAGGGTGTCTATGTGTATGCGGGTGCGTGAGCGAACACCACACTCGCGTAAGTCATGACGGGCCTTATGCAATATGCGAGCGGAACGTCATGGATGATCCAGAGTGACTCCTGGGTACTTGACCTTCTTGGCCCAGGGTATAAGTTAGCCGAAGAGCGTGATCGGACTTTTTGATCATCTGAACCTATTAGAAGTTGGTAAAATTCAAACCTACAGGTAGTCATAAGTTTATTGGACCATTAGTCATCGTGGCCTAAAGAATAAGAAGCCCAGTGCATTCGTATCAAGCAATGAGACTGTGCCGGTGCTTGATCGAATCCCGTACCAATTTTGGACGTGAAATACGTAAATCCTTAAAAAATGTTCACGAATGACTTCCACGATGGAGGATTAACATCATGTAATAAAAATCAAACTTACAAATATTATAATTTGTGTAATTAGTGGTAGAAGGGCGGCATGTGAGCCGGCACTGGTCGGGAACCACCACTACCCTCTCCCTATTTCTCCCGTGAAACAGTAATGCGTTTCGGTCTGAAGGGTGGGGCTGCCGTTGTACTGCCTGACTTAGATCTCATGTCTCAAGGTAGCTGACGGCATTTACATTTATAGTATCTATAGCCTCTGGTAACCACTTAACACCAGGTAGGTCTTTAGATCTCCACTCAACTTAGCAATAAAAAAATAATTGAAGATACAATTTCGAAAAGGGCACATGTCTGAAAATGTAAAATGGAAATGAAAAAAACTGATTATTTTCTAAAGCAGTGTAAAATTTTAAATATAAACTTTTAAGATATACTTTAGTGTTCATTAGCAATTGAAAATTACTGGAATTATTATAGAATGGGTGTAGGTAAGCCTCAAAACTACATGTATATGAAAAAACGTATTTGAAAAAATATGCGACATGTGCCCTTTTCGAAATTGCACATTCAATTAAAAACGAAAATATTACTTTATCGAGCTGCTATCCATTACAGCGCCTCTTTTAGCGCGGCGCACCTAAGCAAATCAAAACTTCGCAGGCTCAAACAAAATTTTAAGTCAACCGTTGGAATTTAATTTACACGTGAGAAACGTTCCCGTCGAAATTATATTTTATTTTATAATTTTATCCATTGTGTTAAAATAATACATATTATGAAGTGTGTATTGTGATTTTAGTCACGTGGCCTCGTAATGAGAGATCGTAAAGTAATACAATTTTACTGCCTGTATTCACGCTATTAAGTATTTAAGAAAAAATATAGATTACAATAGTTTGTTATCTTTATATTACTTCCTGGAAAGAATATTGGCTATATAATTTCTTGTGATGTTTTCTGTGATAGATTCAGAATTCAAAAACCTTGTTAAGAAACGTTACATTTATAATATGTACTAATAATTAAAAAGTTAAATTAGATTATTTTTATATACATATTAGATTTTTCTTATTTGAGATGAATGAATTTTAAAATAATTTCAATTACATGAAACTAATAGTGACGTGCGTCTTTTCAACTTTAATAGTTATAATTTTCAACTAAGCTGGACTACCGTCACGCATAGTTGCCTCACCATTAGTCACATGTACTTATCGACACCGGTTTGTTTACAAAGCTTTTTTTTTCCTACCTATGCTGATAGCCTTGAGAGGCTATTTCAGCTTCACCCTAACGTTTGTAGGTGAGCTCACGGGGCTCAAACCGGAGAGTTGCTAACACTGACCCTAGCAAGAGCAGTGCTTCGCAGAATCTACCATCGGATCGGAAACGCGACCCACTGAGACGATCCGGTGAGAAACTCAGTGGGCTGTGTCTAGTATAAACGCTTAAATTAAACAGCCTTTCCCCGCTCGATATAGTCTTCGTGGGTGAAAATATTGTTCACGAACGGATCGTCCAATTTGACTACGTTAATTTACACCACTCTGCCAGGTTCCTATACCTGAGGTCTTTGATCCGAAAATGATTCGTGCTAATTTGATACTAGGTCTCTGCTGTCGCATGCCTGCACTTAATTCGCATAGTTGAACTTGACTCGAATACCAGCACAATTAATTCCCATTTGTAATCAATGTAATGTAATCATTCATTATTGATTACATTTCAATCATTTGTAATGTAATCAATAAATTGACATAAAATATGTGTAAAATAAATATTAAAAAAAAAACCTTTTTTCGGATTGTGTGAATATATTGTGTTCGTAAACATCTGTCATGAATACAGTACACGGACACGGCTTCGTGTTTAATTCAAATGATAAATTTAAATGATTAAATAACGGAGTATATAAATTCATAAATAAGGAATCTCAAAGTGTAGGTGCAAAAAAAATTACTAGATTTTCATTTGAACATGCATATTTAACTTTCATTCAAGTGGGCATGGCTTCAAACGAAAATTTAACCCCTACTATTTCCACTGTAAGGTTATCTATGTGGTATTTTTATCACAAAAATATAGACAACATTTTGCCGTACATTGTTAATTAATTGATAATTGTTAATTTTGAAGTCGTCGTGGCCTAAAGGATAAGACGTCCGGTGCATTCGTATGTAACGATGCACCAGTGTTCGAATCCCGCAGGCGGGTACCAATTTTTCTAATGAAATACGTACTTAACAAATGTTCACGTGTGACTTCCACGGTGAAGGAATAACATCGTGTAATAAAAATCAAACCCGCAAAATTATAATTTGCGTAATCACTGGTGGTAGGACCTCTTGTGAGTCCGCACGGGTAGGTACCACCATCCCGCCTATTTCTGCCGTGAAACAGTAATGCGTTTCGGTTTGAAGGGTCGGGTAGTCGTTGTAACTATACTGAGAGACCTTAGAACTTATATCTCAAGGTGGATGGCGCATTTACATTGAAGATGTCTATGGGCTCCAGTAATCACTTAACACCAGGTGGGTTGTGAGTTCGTCCACCCATCTAAGCAATAAAAAAAAATTGACTGCTACGATCTGTTTATACAAGTTTTTTTTTCACACATAAAAATTTTAGATGAAAAGAAAAAGATAATACAATGTATATTTATTTGTACAAACAGCGTGTACATCATGTATTACATGAAAGTAATCATAAATAGCTTACACGTACCAACTATGTAGATATTAATAAACGGGCAAGTTAAATATAACATTACAAAATCCCCGACATAAACCGCAAAACACGTGTAGTAAACAGATCGTAACATTAAATCCCAAGTAAATAGTTTTCAGGTTCGTGTTTGATAACTATTTGATTTTCAATATAGCTTGTTCATTTTATTATTACTAGTGTTCGCGTAATGGTCTAAATCCGACCATTATTACTGAATCTAAGTTCGACAAAGAGCAATTGACAAACAGAGAAGGAAACTGGATTCAACTATTCATAGGTACTAGTGAACCCGTTCACATTCAACTATCACTAATTAATGAAGAAAACTCAAAAAATTTATAAAAAAATGTTACAAATAGTCAATGTAAAATGTAATTGTATCAAAACATACGTGCTACTATAGGCACGTATACATTCTGTAATTTGTATTCTTCGTACGCCGTTTGGTCAGTCTGATATTTTTAAATTTCATAAAATTTTATTATTTAGAATAACATTTATTTAGAACATAATTTATAACATTACATTATTTAGAATAACACTCGTATATTATTTAAATAATGTATTCAATTAATTACACTTCATACTGGGGGGTGTTTCGTTATTTCGTATATAAAGCAAAACGTAAGAAAATAAAAGAAAGAGGCGTACTAACGTGGGTGTACATCAAGAATGTATCGTATCGTAAGCGGCGGCTTTACTTGAATTGTACATATGTTCAAATGTACATACCAAATGCCTATTCGTACTGGTACGGAATATTAAACAGACGGCGCTACGGCTGGTAGATATTAATTTGCAAAACTGCGTTACGCTGACGAATTCAATTCTTTTGCCACCAGTGTTTTAACATGAGGGGGATATTTCTAAAAATGGAACTGAGTCTGGTGTTCGGATAAAGGTGTTTTTTTTTTGTTCAGGATGAAGTTGGAATTTCGGACGGTATGCGAGACATGTCAGAGCTGAGCCAACTAAAACCACCTGTCAGTCAACAACCCACGCTCAAATCTCGCATGATACAGAATTCAATCCAGATAGGAGAGAGTAAGGTAACGCGTTATACGCAAAAAGTCTCTCCTATCACCCTATCCTCGTGGGACGCCGAACCCAGCAATCATCAGTGCCTATCTACCACCTGTCTTCTCATTTGACCACCTAGAAATATCCCGCTGAGTTAGAACCAACGTGGCTTGAAGAGTGCGGTCTTCTGTTACCCGATTACTCTTTTGCAAGTCTTTTGTGGAGTAACGTCCTTAGGTCCGCGCTCTCAAAAGCCAAAGCAAAATGACACTACAGGACCTGGGATTAGCCACGCGGCACAACCAGTCTTCTAATCGTGTCAAAAACGAGTGCTACTTCAGCAATGGCAAGATAGGCAAACAGATTTGACGGATTACGACCGGCGTGGCAGCTACGTATCAAAATATGCAGAGGCTCGGGAAGAATAGTCTCCTAAGCACCCTATTATACCCAATGATCCACCGCGGAGAGCCAAGAACTGACTCCTGTGTAACACCACGTAAGACTCAAAATTAGTACGAGAAATAGGAAGCTAACCAAGTCTTCATAGCTCACCACAATATCAAGGTTTGTAAATATTGCAGAGATTGCATCAAATAAGTTAGAATTTCATTACAAATCAATTTGCAAAAGTAATTGCTACAGCTGCTAAGTGTATCTATCCAACGCTAATCTCAACGTTGCTTGGAAACGTGCAACAATTTATTTCAGACTCCTCAGATTGTAAGCTCTAGTTAATTACACCAACTGCGTTTGCTTTCAAATGACTATACTGAAATATATTCAGTGCTTGTTTTAAACATACAAAATTAAATGTTTGATGAGTTCTGAAAGCGGCTGAAATATTTAGAAAGAATATGCTTTGTATGGTAGTTGAAATTTTGCAATTTTTTATTGCACCTCAAATAAGTCTATTACGAGCTACTTCAAATGGAATCTGCAGGTAGGGCCTGTTGTATCATCCTGACAGGGCTTGACTTGCCTATTTTTACCACGCAGTATTTTGGCTCTTCATTTCGTTCCGTTCTGACACTTTTTTTATCATGCGTTTCCACAAGAAATTAAAGTTTTCCACGTAACATTCGGCTTTGGAATGAACTGTGTTTCCCGAGCGCTTTACTCCACGGTGGTTCCTACTTAAAACCAGGTTTGAGGAGAGTTCTCAGCAGTAAGCATTGACTTGGCTGTGCGCCTGGCATTGTTGATGTCCATGAGCCATAGTAACCAGTTACCGTGAGATGGGCCGAATACTCACCCGGAAAACCAATAAAAAATCATACCTTAAGGTCGGCAGCCATAATTAGTTTATTAGAAGTCTTGGTGTCTCCTCCTGTACTATCGGTTTTCAAGATTGCTTTCTCTAGTTATAAAAATTAAAGCATACACACATAAAGCCTGTTAGTTAATATCTTAAGTCAAAATACCAAACCAATGTTAAACCATAGCCCAAGATAACCCGCTAATGCACAATGGGTCTAACCTCACCTGCGCTCTAGGAGGCGCATCGCAAAGGTGCGTAGTAGCGGTCGACAGTCGCCGAAGTCTTCGAGGCCCTCGAACTGGATCTGTTAAGCCATTGGCAGCCCTCTGCCGTTGTGAAGCCAGCAGTGCACTGTATGACCGACCCATGCGAGGCCCACCTCGCCTTCCACACCAAGCCGCTAATGTCATCTGTTAACAAGGTCCTTATATTATAATTTACATCTTACACTAGTAAAGAAAACGTTGATTTTTGTTTAAAAATGAAATCTGATAAAATTTATGCTTCCTTAAATTTTCTCCAATCTTGGACATAATTAAAACTATTTTAGCCCTTAAATTCCAACTTTTCGAACAATTTACGGTTGTCATGATCATTCACAGGCGACAAATGTGTTATTCTTCAATTATTAAATATTATATTAATCGCTGCTTAATATTTAACCTCTCTTTACATGCAAACATAATTATTAGTATGTTGGGGTCTGGAAGTTTGATTTGAGGTTTTATCTTCACGATAAGATTAAACCAGGTAAGCTCTGAGAAATTAAATGTATTATTTTCAATAGCAAGACCATCGCGTACTAGACTTGGATTTAGTAGCAAGTATTTGAATTCGGTTAAATTTCATAGAATTGTAGGAACCACTACAACCCAGAACCTTATGATTTTAAAAAGAAAACAATAAAAGCTAATTTAAACCGCACAAATTATATTCATGTTACGATCAACTCTAGCTACTTGTTATAATTAATAAGTAAAACTTCCTAATGCAAATTGTTATAACTTTGAATTGAATTCTCACGAGATCCTGTAATTATCCGTGTTTCATACAAATAGCCTAAAGCAATGTTGAAAGCTACAATCTCATTTCATTAAATCTGACCGAGGTTAGAGAATTTCCATTAATGCGGTTTAAAGTTCAACAGAACTCGTAAATCCCTAAATCGATAAGCGGAGAGTAGGGCGAGCCACTTGTCGCCGACATTTCCACAACGGCATCCCAAATAGCCAAATTATCTAAACGCGTATCTAGATTATGGCTATACACTTTCCTTTTTATTGTGGGCTGACAGTACCATTGAGGATCGGGGATTTTCATACGAACATATTATTATGCTCATATCTCTCGCGGCACAGATTTTAACTTGAAAACAATACAATATATACCCATAAACATACAATGAATTGAATGTGAAGATATTTTTATGTACTTATCTCGAAACTTTTCTAGCTTTTGGGTATTGTGACTTTTACACAGTGCAAATTACTATGATTGCCTTAAAAGCCTATATCATCTTAAAGGATTGGTCACCGATAAATCCACTGGAATGCACGAGGCCCACATCCAAATTACAAAGAAACAAACAACTGGTCCAGAATCAATGGCGTCAAACTAGAATTTTCTCCTGCGTTATGGGTTCCGGAAACTTGCGACACAAAAACACGTACACCCAGGCCTTGAAGACTAAATATCATAAACAAAGGCTTTAACCGGGAACCGAAACAGAAATCGTAGTAATTGCTAACTACATAACAGAAATAGCGCTCCAATGATTTTGGAAAATCCCCATAGATACAACCCACTGATTTTCTCGCCGTATCTTCTCAGTGGGCCGCGTTTCCGATCCGGTGGTAGATTCTGCGAAGCACTGCTCTTGCTAGGGCCAGTGTTAGCAACACTCCCAGTTAGAGCCCCGTGAGCTCACCTACACGTCAAGGAGAAACTGAAATAGCCTCTCAAGGCTATCAGCATAGGTAGGGGAAAAAACAAAAAATTGGAAAATTTATAAATTATACGCCTCCGGTTTTTGTAAGTCAATGTTAATCCTTCTAATCCTAATTGTACTAAACGTGATGATGACTTTGGAAATTTTGAAAGCTCGATCGAAAGCGAACACTTAAATGCTGATTACTGTAACTTCGTTAGACAGTTGATCGACTTGGTTTTTGAGAGACGGATTCATACAATAATTACGGCCAAAATTACAATACTCATCAAAGCGATGGACTAGCATTGTTGTGGCGAGCAAGGTAAGCTCTTCATTTTGCATTCCTGTTTTTCTATAGAATGCACGAGAGTATTTTTAATTTTCGGGCTTTCGAAGACTCGTATTTTGTTCAAGTATCGTAAAACTATTTCCTTAATTCTACATGAAATTAAGTTGACCGAGCTAATAATGTAATGCATCAATGTAAATTAGGTGAGTTATGAATGTTCTTGCTTGACAAACCTTGTTAGAAAAAATGCACCAGCGCTGATGACGTCACGTTTTTGAAAACAAAAGAGGGTAACCCCTTTCGAAGCGCTTAACTATAACGCAAGTTCAATTTACAGCTTTTTTCTTTTCTTAAAATAACGTCTGAAATCCTTTTAAGCATAAAAACGTAAACAATTAACTCCAATTTAACAAACAACACTTTGTTAAGTTTGTTTTATTCTCGGAGGGTATCTAAGTAAATATTTGGATTTAATTTCTTTTGAGCATCTGTTCGTGTCTAGTCTAGTCACGTCCCTTTCTCTAATAAATAAATCTAAATGTAACAGCCAAGTAATCAGAACAATTGTATTTTATTTTAACTAAGCACGAAAACCACAGATTATTTGGTTTATTGGTTTTCGTTAAAAACACACGAGAGTTAGAACCAAGTTCGGTTTCAAAGTTTACCGAAAATAGTAACCAACATTTTCACGAATTTTTCCATCATTACCGAGATTTATATAAAATGGAGAGTGCTATAAGAGTCGCTCAGTTATCTCAGAACAATATCAGTGGGCCATTGGTCCATTTACACCAAATTATTATAGTAAAATGAAAACTTTGGCATTACCCACGGAGGTAGAGGGCATCCCCACTTTCTAAAATCACTGCGTTCACCCACACTGCATTGACAGCGATCATTTTGGCACATATCAGCCTTTGGAATCCTCCTTCTCGGAGTTTACCGAGCGCTACGGCATTTGCTTCTTCAAACGAAGTTTAATAAGTCCTTTAATAAGTAAGTGGATTACGGCGTACCTGTCTCTCTAGATTTCCTGAAATTCACAAGCAGCGATGCTCTCACTATCAGGTAGACCTGACTCCGGAACCAAAAAAAAACACCATCGCATCCTATCTCTTTCGTAGAGCTGTTAACATCCGGGAGCACGCTTCAATTAAGCACGTAACAATAGTGATATTACTCGTAATAGTATAATAAAGTTTAATTTCTGTTTACACAGAAAATGGAACATTTCATAAGCTTTGATTTCTTTCACGTTACACCAAAGTTATTTGAAAGTTGCCCTCGACTTCAAATATTGATACGGTCTGGCTATGTCGTCGTATTTGATGACTCCCATAAAAACACCCTCTGGTTCGTCCCACCTTTATGACGACATAAAATTTATGTTCCATGGCGGTCGTTTTATATCGTCCAACGATTTTATAATTGACATTAGATTAGCTACAATTTGAGATGTACACGCGCACTTTTGTGAATACTAGTGATTTTGTTCTACTTGTGTTGTATGGAGACGAAAAAATCAACTGAAATTAATAATTTTGTTTGCGAAGTTAAAAATGAAGCCCAGGAAAAATGGATTCAGGCTTTGTAACTTAGTTTGCGGAATGTTCTGAGATTAGATTATTTTTAGCTTCCATACTTAGAGTAATTGATTCTGGTTCAATTTTTCTAAAATATAATCTTCATGAATATAAAAAGTAGGTGTAGATTTTTTAACCAAACCATAATAAACTTGGCAGTAATTTTGTATTTGTAACTTTTAGCATATTAAGAAAAAGAAAAAAACTTTTATTTATAACCATAATTAGTCTATTTTGTAGTGTTTCATTATATTTTGTAAAATAAACACATTTTCTCCATTTTTTCAACAATAAAATGCAACAATATTTTATTGCTTTACCAAAAAAAATATTTGCCTCGTTATATATATAAAAAAAAAAGAAAAAACATTGTGATAAAAAAGTATTCCTTTAAATGCATTGTGACAAACAAATACTAAGCTTTATTACCTTAGATTCCTTTGTTCAATATAGCGGTTATTGCGAGTTGTAACTAATATCCGCATTGGGCCGTCTACAAAGGAAGATCCGCTTGCACTACGCACGTAAATCGCAATCAGAAATCCAATATGGAGGTGCTTCAGTATGTAGATAAATAAAGCTAGATTGCTAAGTTTGATGGTAGTTCGACAGCTTCGACGTAATATTGTAATAAGCCAATAAATGTACGTAATAAACTCAAACATATCATCTAAGCCTCTAATCTATATATTAATACGTGAAGCAAAAACTTTGTATCCCTTTTTATGAAAATTGCGCGGACGGAGGAGTATGAAACTTTCCACACTTATAGAGAATATAGAGAAGAAGTGCTCAATGCTAATTTTTTTTTTTTAATAATGCCTAAAATATACATTAAATCAATAAAGAAAACATTACACACACTACATACCATGTATTTGAGGCACACACGCATGCATACTATTTATTGTCAAACTTTTGCTCTTGACGTCTGTGGTCAAATTGAGAATAGATTAAATATTGTTTGTCTTTATTAATATTTTTTTATAGTGTAGCCTTGGCGAAATTTGTGATTATAGAAGTATAAAATACAATCATAACAGTGTATAAACTTACAATTCTAATTAATTATAGTCGAATTTCGACTACCTACCTTGAAATTTATCAATATGTACGTACTGTATGTAGGTAGGTAAGTAGGTACTGTAATTAATTTGACCACGATGTCGACCGAAATCCGTGGTGATTTACCTACCGCCTTTATAGTGAGTGTAAAAATAGTGAAATCCGATCTGTCACAGTTATTGGAAAACTTTATTAATTACGACTTTGAAGCGATCGAGAGAAAATGTTTCAAGTTTAGGTACCTATAATTTTTGCCGTTCTATAAATACTGCCGCCCTAGAACCAGGCATCATAGGCCTAATTCCGCCGCTACACTCAATTGTCGTCACGAATGGTTTTATCGAAACAAATACTTTAGCCTATAATTTTGTGTACGGCTCAATGCCAGTTATATTATGAGTTCATTGAGACTCATAGTCTTTATCTATAGTTAGTATATATTAGTAGTCAGTGTATTATAGTATATAGTATAGTATAGTATTATGTATAGTGTATAGTATAGTATTATAGCTTATATCTATGCGGTGTATAACAATCAAA